CTGCGGGGGGTCCTGGGGCAGGAAGGAGAGGCAGCGAGTGCCTGGTGAGGGTGGCACGGGAGACTAAATCTTGCAAGCCATGAACTGCTGTGCATTTCCTCCATCCCCCTCCCCCACCGCCCACCTCCCCGGCCTCTTTTCTCCAGTAATTCCCCATTTCCTTTCCAAAATTCCTCAGGAGCTTCTGGTTTGTGTTTTTCCTCGACATGTTCTTATCTGCCACCCGCTTCCCCTCGCTGGCTCTCGCAGTGCAGGCTTTTCAGGGTCTCCCTCTTTGCAGCTTGCTGCCGTCTCCAGGCCAGGCTGGTGGCTCTGGTGTGAGCATCAGGAAAGGCAGGTCCCACCAGCTCCACGCCAGGAAACCTTGCCCCCATCTCCCCATGCCTATCAAGTCCCCACCCTCAGGTTCCCAAATCAGCATTTTTTTCTAATTTCAGCCCCTGCTCTGGAGACTCCGGGCCACCCAGGGAGTGCTTCTGGCGGGGCGGTGAAAGGCGGCAAAGTTTCTCACTCCTCTCTGCCTCCTGCTTCAGGAGAAAAGGGTGGGAATGCTCTCAGACAGTCAGGATACCCTGGGTTGGGGTCAGGGCACCAAGCCTTTGCCGAGGGCAGATATTCCTATCCGACTCCCTTGCAAATGTGGTCAGACTCCAAGCAACCTTTATTTAACAGATTTTAAAGCCCAGGCCCTGGGACCCACGGACTTTTTGGGGTGCTGTTGGCCGATAAAAGCTAGCTGCAGAGCCATGCCCTGAGTCCAGGGGGAAGCCCCAGCAAGGTGGGCAAGCTGGGAAGAAACCTTGGAGGTGGGTCTGTCTCCCCATCACCATCATTTTCCACTGACTAAGCTAGAAACAACCCTCAGATCTGGAGTGAAACTGAAGTCACAGTGGTGGGGATGGGGCAGCTCCATCTTCCCTTTGCTTTTCCTCTTTCCCAGGCTTCTCAGCGGTGCTGGGGCCTCCTCAGAAGTGTCCCCAAGGGACAGAAAGCATAACACAACTTGGCTTTGCCCGAGCATCGTGTCTGGGCAAAGGCCAGGAGCCACCCAAGCCTCCCCAGGGCGGGAAGGGTGGAGCAGACCTGATGTGGGCAAAAGCCACAGCTTGGGGCTGGGGTGACCTGTGCTCACATCTGCACCCTGTTCAGCAACCGGTGTCCCTGTCCCCTGTCCTGCTGCCAGCACTGATGTCAAGCCACCCCAGCCATGTCCTCCCTACAGCTCCAAACCTCCCTTGGCCACGTTGCCACACAAGGGAGGGACTCGTCTGCACAGGGCTGGGCCTGACCGATGCTGCATCGCTGCCTGCCACACACGGACGTCCCATCTCCCAGAGCAGTTCAGGCTCGGCGGCGTTGTGGGTAGCATGGACTGGGACCTGAAGTGAAAAACAATCTCTGGGTGTTGAAGTCACTCAAATGGCCCGGAAGGTTTGACTGATGCTCCTCCCTGGGGAGGTGGGTGCCCTGGGCAGAGCGCTGCCTGCCACGCACGCACGTACACACCCCCGTGCAACACACCGGGCACGGATGGATGTGGGCACGCACACGAGCTCGCCTGGGGGGCTGTGCACATGGGAATGGCAGAGCCTCCCTGCAGGTTGCAAACCCCACCCTGGTGCCGGGGATGCTGCTGCTGAGTTACTGCATCCCTGAGCTGCTCAGCCACTGAGTGCGATGGGGACACACTGACCCCTTAGCGGAGGAGCAAGGGCCCCTTGCCCAAGTGCCTGGGGCTCCTATCGACAGAGCACAGACTGGGGCTGAGCAGCACCAAACCAGGAGTGTTAGAGGTAAAAGAGAGGGGTCAGCCAGCTTCCCTCGCCCCAGCAGCCCACTTGGAGTACTCTCTGTTCCCTGGGCCAGACCCTCAGCCCTTCCCTGGGAGGGGACCAAGACAGTTGTAGGGGACACAATGTGTGAGTGCTGCCATCCAACCCAGCAGGGCTTGGGGAAGTCCATCATAGGGCTGGTGGTGAGAAAAGCCATCCCAGAAATGGCTCCAGGGGCTTCATTATCATCCTGGGGGGATGGAGAGGGGCATCACCATGCAGCCTGTGGTGCAGGAATTACCCACTCTCCATGGCCGCGGTGGATAGGAAAAGGCAACAGGAAGGGATTTGGGTTAAATATTGAATAAAGAGAGAAAATGTGACACTCTGGAATGGTTTACCTGGAGAGGGAAGGGCAGGCAGGAGAGAGGCTGGGCTAGTCCCTCTTCAGAGCAGAGCAGAGGGATCTGTAGGAGGTCTGGTCTGTCCCTCGGAGAAGGGCGATGGGTAGGACTGGGCTGTCCTTCTGCCTTGTGAGGTTCTAGCTCCATCTACAGGGATGTTGCTCCAAGTGATGGAGGCCTGGGACTGACACACGCCCAAAGCAGGCTGGGCAGGAGGTGATGTCTCCTTGCCTGCAGCCAGCTTCTCCTGCAGCTCTTCTCCCACAGCGCACCTCCGAGTTGTGCTCCTGCTGCTCTGCGATGGACGGACAAGCTCAGATGCAGTTGGGTTTGTACATCCCTGAGATAAAGAGATGGGGAGCCTGCTGGGTGGCTGCAGGACCGGGGTGCAGTAGGGGCACCCTGGGCTGCGTGCAGAGTGCTCCTAGCACTCCTGGTCCCAGACTCACATGCTCTGCATGGCCTCTGGCAGACCCTGCCTGCCTTTCACATGAGAGCAGCCCAGAGATGCCCCTGTGCTGGCCTTCAGTGCCAGCGACTCTTTCCACCCCCATGGCAGTGGTGTGCAGCCTTGGCTCCCACAGGACCATGTAATCCAAGCAAATCAGGCAGGCAGCCTAAATGAAAAGCTCAGGCGAGTGAAAGCAGCATTAGCCAGGTCTCTTCTCCCTGGTTAGTTGATGATCACCATGTCACCATCTTTCCTTGGCTGCCCCTTATGCCAGCAGTTTTAGGTGGGCATGAAGTAGTGACATATAAGAGTCCAGACTGCCCCAGTGTACTACCGCCAGGCTTAAGGAAAGCAATGGAGTTAGAGAAGGGATGTGGAACACCTTGTTCACAACCTCTCTGCCCCAGCCCAGGACAAGGGGGTTTTTCTAACATGCTCAGTGGTCCTTCATTTCTACCTCATTCATGCTCTGCCTTGTGACTGCTTCAAACTACAGCACCGATGGCCTCCAGCTGGCTGTACCCACATGTCCCTGTGGTGGGATAACCCGAGTGGAGCTGCCCTCTCATGTCTTGATGGTCTCAGGGTGATTCACACCCTCCTACCTCTTGGCTGCCACCCCATATTTGCACTGTCCCATTGCACGCACCCCTCAGCTCTACATGTGGCTCGGGCAGTGCCTGGCAGAAGCAGGCATGCAGTTCATCTCCAGCCAAAACCAAGACTTCCCCGCCCGTCACCTGGGCTCAGGGCAATGACATGTCCTGATGGCAACTGGTCCCAGCAGAAAATTCCCAGTCGACGGCAGGGAAGAGAGTGTTTGGCCCCAAAATGGGGGTCATCATTTCGGACTCCAGACTCTCCATGTCTCTGCCTGCCAGACTGAAGGCACAGAGGGATGTGTCTCTGTCTGGGTGACACTGTGACAGCTGCATGGCCTTGGCACATGGCATCTTGCTGGTGGTTGTGATAGGGGTCCTGCTCTGAGCTTTCCTGCCTGAGTCAGGGCAGCATACATGTGCGGTTTGTAACGGTGCCAGACAGCACGGAGAGTCCTCTGTGAGGGCAAGTGTGAGACATGCACGCACAAGAACGCTCACACGCGTGTGTATTCACAACAGGACAGAAATAACCCTCCTGATCCCCTTTCTCTCATCCC